CGGGGCCGCGGCCCCGCCAGCAGAGCCGTGCCGGCGCCCGATGCAGAGGGGTCAGGGACTGGCGGTTTGGCAGAAAAACAACTTCCCCCAAGGTCAAGCAGAGGACACACCACAGGACACGTTCCCACATGTGGAAGAAGATGGTCCCTGTCTGTCCTTCCCTCAGCCCCCCGGTCCCACTCCTGCGTGGGCTGAGCAGCAACAAAAATCCCCGTTTCCTCCTGCGTGGGGGCTTTTCCTCCTGCCCCAGCCCAGCTAGCATGGCAGGGGATGCTCTGGTGCCATGGGCTGGAAGGGGCCAGGGGAGGCTGTGCCCAGCTATGGCCAGGAGACACCTTTAGCAGAGCTGGTGCAAACAGCAGCGTGGATCTCACGCTGTGATGAGCACTGCAGAAAGGTCAGGAGGGTATTTTTACACCATCAGACCCTGATGAGGAGAGAGCCGCGACCATCTCCTCCATCTATGGCCATGGCAAGGCTAGACCGAGCCCTCCTGTGGGACTCATTGCACCACGAAGGACCATGGCGGCAGCAAGTCCCGGTGCCCCGTCCAGCAGTGCTCTGCTGGGTCAGGGCTGTCCCACAGGGCACGCAAGGCTGGAGGGGTAGGCGGGAGGGGTGCAGGAACCTGGCAGCAGCCGAGGAGGGGGTCCAGCCTGGGACCACCATGAGTCAACCCATGCTGGATACTCCCTTTGTTGGGGTTTTTTTTTTTTGGTTTTTTACTTTTACCCTTCTCAAGGGGAAAAAGCTCAAGAGGTGCCTGGAGAACTGCGGGACGCTTCCCCCATCCTCTGCGTGCCCTCCGGTGACAGTCCCCCGTGGCACGGGGCTGCTGAGGGATGGCGAGCGGTGCCACGAGGCTGGGGCACTGCCCATCTGCTCCTGCCCAGAGGCAGCAGTGGCTGGGGCAGGCCAACCTCTCAGGGATGCAAAGCCAAACCAAAAAAAAAAAAAAAACCACCAAACCAAAAAAAACATGCTTCCCAACATCCTTCTGCCTCTCCTCAGATCAGGGCATCTCCCCACTCCAGCCAGCCGCACACCGCTCTCTGTCGCTGCAGGACATGAAACACCAGCCCAGTGCAGAGCCAGGTTGCTGAGACACTAAAAATGTATTGAAAGCCTCCACCACTCCTACCTGAGACATTTAAATTATTTAGGGCACTTGAATCAACCCCAAGAAAAAATACAAACACACAAGGCATGAAACTCAAGCAGCGCTCGCTGTGCTGCCTTGCCTCCCCATCCCACAGCGCCCTCGCAGGAGGCATCAGCGGAGGACCAGGGCATGCAGCCCTCGCAGGGAGCCTGCCCGTCACAAACGCAGGTCCCCGCACGTCCCAGCCCCACGCGTGTGCGCATACACTGCCCCGCATCCCGGTGCGCCCAGTTTCGTGAGCCTCCCGCCCAGGCGGATCCCAGCACGCCTGTGCCACACCGTGCCGGCACGCTCAACCTTGGACACCCTCTCACAGGCTTGCTGTAGCCGGGAGGATAAATCAGCGGCCCCGGGCGGTCACAGCAGGGCTGACCCAGCTGGGCTTATCGGCCCTGCTTTGCAGCTCGCAGCGGACGGGTTTCCCTTCTTTTCGTCTCCCCATTCTGTTTTACCAAGGGGAGCAGTGCTGGCGGCATGCCGCGACTCTGGGGCGGGCAAGCAGCGGGAAGGCTGACCTACTTTCCACGGGCATCGCTAGGCAGGACCTCCTTCCCAGGCACTGCCAAGGCGATTCACCGCCACCAAACCCCAGCTGGCACAGGGCAGGGCAGAAAGGAGTGGGGGGGACCCTGAGGACCCCACCAGCACAGGATCTGTCAGCAACTGATCAATCCCAAGCCAGGTGGGACCCACACGCCTCCCAAACACCCAGCATCCTCCATTGACCACCCATCAAGCTCCCACGCAAACCCAGCCTGGCAGTAAGTCAAACCCAGCGAGCAAAACTCTTCACCAGTTCGGCAGAGACCTCCCCGCGCCATACCAGGGGCATCGCCAGAGGCTCCTCCGAGGGCAGCAGAGGTGGCCCTGGCTGATCCCCACAGCCTGAACGTGGCCACGCGCCTCCGCCAGGCAGCACTTACCATCTCGTCGAGGGCGTAGCGCAGCAGCCCGTGCTCGTAAAGGATGAAGAACCGACGCTGCCATTTCTGCAAGAGAAGACAGCAAGGCGGGTCACAGCAGGGCTCACAGGCCCCCGGGCACCGGAGCTGAGCCCTACAAAGCTGGTGCCTTTTCTCTGCCCCAAAACCCTTTCTCTGTTGGCAGGAGACTCCTGACAACAGGGCACATGCCCAGGTCTCACTGGGCACCGGACCACAGCTACCAAAAAAGCAGGGGGAACCCCCAACACTGCGGGGACCGTTCCTAAACGGTGATGAAGTATTTCTGCTCAGCCCCTCATGCCCCAAACTCAGGTGTTTGGGGTGCCGTGGGCTTTGCAAAGCAAGGTCCTGCCAGGCCATCCGGCAGGGGTCTGCCAGAGGTCTGCTCGCACCAGCCCACATTGCTCCATGCTGATTTACTGCCTGGCTTTGCGGGCACCCAAGAGGAGGCTGTTTTGGTGTTGCTTCCCCACCCCGCCCCCCTCTGCATTCAGACAGACCCCATGGTGGCCTGGTTTAACCATACAGGGGACAAAAATAACCAGAGACAAAAGACTCCAGCTATAGGCTGGAACCAGGACTTTCCCCCTCCTCCTCCTCTCCTGAAGGACGCCCACAAGCCCCGTCACTGCTCTCCAAGAGACCCAAGACCTGCAGGACACCAGAAGGATCCCCCAGCTAAGTGCTCCCAGCCCTCGGCTTCATCCTGTGTGGTCTATTCCAGCACCCGGTCCCTGCAGGGTGACAGGGTGTCACGCTAGATGTCCTCCAGCAGTGCATCAGCTGGATTTGGATGGTGGCTGCACCTCCGGGGGTGGCACTGCCTAGGCAGTCCTGCCTCCCCCGGCACCGCGCTGGCACTGCTGCTTCTGCAGCCACACAGCAAACCAGATTGGAGAACTGATCTGGCTGGAAAACTGCCTTTTTTTTGTGTGTGCCAGGTTGTTTTCAGCCAAGAGCAAAAACTGGTTGAGCAGGCTGAAATAAAAAAGGTCCTAGATTCATAGCCCCGGTGCAGAAATTCTTATCTCCATTTTCTCAGCCCTTCGGGCGAAGTCCAAGGTGCTCAGGGACAAGCAAAACTATCAAGGACCCTGTAGACCTCTGCATGCCCCAGCTTAGCAGGCAGCCTCCACTCCAGGGGGGACCCGAGTCCCACGTCCCCACAACGTTGGGCCAGCAAGCCTGTAACTAGCTGCGACTCCAATAATGACCCATAAACCCCAGGCTGAACTCAGAACCCAATTCTTGTTCACTCAGGAGAGGTTTTTTTTTTATTACTAGGAGCTCTGAGAGCATTTTGGCTGTGTGACAAAGGGTTCACGGACCATTGCCATCCCTCCCACGCACAAGACAGCCCTGTCCTGCCGGCCTCCGCAGCAAGCTCCCTGGAAGAGCAGCTTGGTGACAGGCTGGGAGTCCTTGTCACAAGCCAGCGGTGAAAGGACATCAACCTGGCCACCTCCTTCTGGGCCTCACACCCCCCATGGCAGGAAAGTGGGGGGTGCTCCAACCCCACACGATGCTGCTGTTTCTGCAAGGCACGAGCAAACACTTTTGGGCAGGAGCTGAGTGTGCCCCGCTCTGTCTGCAGGTCTCTGCTGCCAACGCACTCGGCTTCAGAGCTCCGCAGGGTTATAGCAAATGGGAATCACCTCTCAGCCCCTTCCTTGCTGCAGAACCTGCCTGACACAGGGGTATCCGCATTAGGAGATGGGATGCGGTCTCCCTCCAGGGCTCTGGGCATGCCCGTGATGAGCTGCAGAAAATAAAGTAGTTGTTTCCAAGCACCAAAGGGAAACTTGGTGCCTTGCTGATGGTCCCAGCATGGCTCAGAGCCACACAGCCCACATCCCACCAGCCTGAGAGCCTTCCCATCAGCATGGCATGCGTCAGGCCAACCAGACCCCAACCAGAGCAGCATCAAGGCATCAAAAAGCAACAGCAGCAAGCAATAAAACTGCACGGACTGAGCCTGACAGCACCTGCAGTGCCCCAGCCTGCTGCCCAGCACGGGAGACCTCACATCCTGGAGAAGGCATTCGAGCCCTGCTGCAGAAAACATCTCCCGGCCTCCTGGTTTGCACAAGGGGATGGCTGCATGGAGGTGCCTGCAGCGCTCCCGGGGCCGCAGCCGCCTCTGCGGGCAGGGACAGGCCCTCGCCACTCCTCCTGCCACCCCCACCCACGGCACGGGGAGAGGGCGTCTCAGCTTCGCTTACCCGGGAGCGGTGGACGGGGTTGTCAAAGTCCGTTCCTTCCGGGGCCAGCAGCAGCCAGCCACCATAAATGGGTTTGGCCTGCAAAGAAACAGCAGAGAAACACATCAGGCGCAGGGGAAACCAGCACAGCGTGGACCAGCATCATGGGGGATCGATGGTCAGGGACCACGGGAAACTGCATCAGCCCCCGGCACGAAGGCAGCTGCATGAGTTCAGGCTCCTGCACACAGGCAAACTCAGCCTTGCCAGTGCAGGGAACACGATGCTTGACGGCAAGCCGTGGTGTTATATACTCTGTGTGCAAACGGGATTGAGATGAGGACTTGGGGGGGGAAGTAAAACCCCAGCCACAAACACCAAACTCGGCTGCTTCTGCATGGCATCGCGCCGAGAGCACCAACCTCCTGGGTACTGCCAAGCTGCAGAGCCCGTCCTCACTGACAGCTCTCCCCCTCGCCATCAGCAGCGTGCCTCTACCCCAAAGCAAAAACATACTCCAGAGGAGAGCTTGATGTTTTCCTTTTGTTAATTAAGAGAGGAAAAACTACCCAGCACTGGCAGTTCTCCAGCTCACAGCCGCTTCCCGTGCCATGCACATCCAACACTCGTTTCCCTGCAGGAGCAGCCCCTGCCAGCCCGCTCCTCCCCGCCAGCGGCTTCCAGCAGCCCATGGCCGAGCACGCAGGAAGGTCAGAGCCAGGCGGAGGGAAAACAGCTCATTCAGCTGGCTGGGAAGAGAAAGGGAAAGAATACCCGGAAAGAAATGCCTTACAGCACTGCCATTTATCAGTGGGGGGAAAAAAAAAAAATATCCAGGCTCTTTCCACCGGTGGTTTGGGCACAGAAGTGGCCAGTGCGAAGCAGGCGCACGCCACGGTGGAATGGGGACAGGCACTGGGCATGTCCTCCCCCACGAAATCCTATGGGCACCGCTCCTGCTGCCTGTCAAGCTGCAAACTATTAGCCAACCCCATTCCTGGCAAGGGCTGGGGCCAAATCCTGGTGCAAGAGTGGCGAGGCGTTGCCACACCGGCGAGGCGGCTCCGCAGAGGTATCGGGACAGGCCAGGAGGGAGGAAACCCAGGGCAGATCCAGCTTCTGGAGCCCCTGGGTCTGGGGATGCTGCTTTCGACCATGAAACATCAGTGCACGCCCAGCCCCAGCCCAGCCCAGCCACACAGTGACAAGGACACATGTTCCCAGGTCCTCTCAAAATTATTTGGTTAATCTTGTTGCTTTCATTCTTTTCTTTTTCCTCTTTTTCCTTAAAACTGTTTCCAGTTCGGTACCTCCCCTAGATTCCTCCTGCCAGTTTCTGTGGTTTTGTAATGTTAAAAAAAAGTTTCCCCTCTGGAAAAATCCCTGCAAACAATAGAAGAAACTGCCTATGCACCAAAAACTGTCAAATGCATGAAGCACTGAGTAAGCAAACTGGAAACAAGCCGGAGGAGCCCTTTTACTGCTTATAAAGTGAAAAGAAATAACAAAATCTCTTATCCCCCCCCCACAACGTGACATATCAGCTCTAGGTGTTGCTCTCCCAGCAGCTGGGAAAACATGATTTGAGAAGACCTTCCTTCCCCCTCTCTTTAAAGGGAATTTAAAACAATGAA